AAAAAAAAAAAAAGAAAGAAATATAGTCAACAAGGATTATAACTACTGCGTACATAACCTTGCAGTATTAATGATAATACATGTTCCTCTGCTAGTAGACATATGGGCAGAAGGCTAGACAAGCAGACATGGCCAGGTGGAAAGGACTACATCTCTGTTGATACCAGGGTTGGGTAGGTGATATGTCCATACTCTTATCATAATAAGTTATAACTCAATTCATGTACATAGGAGAAGCAACAGGGGCAAAGCTCTGTAAAGTTCTTCCTCATAATCAAACCCTCTGAGAGAACGAGCCGCTGATCCTGGGTCCTCTGCACCATATTCTTGGGCAACATCAAGGTCATAACACAGCCCACAATGTTCTACATTCTGCTTTCGTGACTGGCAATTAGGGTCTTAAAAGTTTGTGAGCAGTCATCTAAAATGCAGCCACTGTTCATTCTCTCCCAGCCCAAGAAGAAAGAGAAAAGAAAACAAAGAAGAAGTAAATCAACCACTCCAAAGACTAATGGTCTCAACTTTCTTACGGACCCGAGACCAGGAGAGCTAGATGGTACCTGGCTACTGTCTACCATGGCTGACCACGCTAAAAGGGTCAGTACAAGATCCTGGATCGAGTCAGGGAGGCAATGTGGCACAATAATAACAAAAAGAAAAGAAAAAAAAACCAAAACAAAAAAAAAACTCATAAATCATTTTAAACAAAAGTTAGACTTACTGGTCCAACAGAGACTGGTGGTACCCCCAAGCGTACGGTCCTTAGTCTTCCCATTTGAACCTAAAACAAAGCTCACCCTCATGGCTCAGCTTTCATCCATATGACAGACAGACCTACGAGGCGATCACTCAGATCAGGGATGTGGTTCACTCCTGAGAATAACTAAACACCTAAGGTCAAAACAGCAGCATCTGCCCAAGGAAGAAAGAAGACCAAGAAAGGCAGGACAGAAGGCTTAATGGCAGTATGAATTACAGGGAAAGAGGAGAACAACTATACCATATGTATTGTAATTCATGTTATAAAACCAAATGTGATGATTGGTTGAATGGGAAAGCTAATTCTCTTTGTAAACTTTCGTTCAAATCACAAAATTTCTCCAAAAACAAATCCACATTCTCAATAAATATTCAATCATATTTTTATTTCATTCAATTACCTATAAAACTAAACTGAACTGAAAAGTATCTATTGACTGGCTGCTGAGAAAAGGGGAAGACATCACCAGGGATGCAGCCTGCTGTAAACCACAGACCAAGAGTAAGCGGGCAATCTGAACACATGTATCAACTTTGCTCTTACTTCTACACTCTCCAAATCATCTACCAGAAAGAAATTTTTCCTTATAAACCACACATGTGAAATACTCAAGTTACTTACGCTATTTCAAAAAGAGATGGCAGTTTCAAATATATACTTTATGCTTTGTAAAAATTCCTGCAATCCATGTAATAATAATAGAGACACATACAAAGAAAGTGGGATACTGTCAAGAAAAAAATCTGTTCCTGAGACATTCTACCAGGTGGGGCCTAGTCTGCGACACGCCTCGCCTGCAAAGAGGACCGCTTTTAAAAAGAGATGTTTAAGGGGAGCTCTGGTGGCCTAGTGGCAAGGAACTGCAACTACAATCCCAGAGGTGCACGGTTCAAATCCACCAGATGCTCTGCCGGGGAAGGAGGGACAATCTCCCCCTGTACCAGTCAGATATGATTTGACGGTACACTCACACAAGAATAATAAAAATTTTTTTTAAAAAAAGAGAAATGTTCAACACAACAAGAAACCAAAGAACTTTCCTGCTGAAATACATTATCTCAGTACTTGTCAAACCGTTATTTTTGTGAACACTAGTTTCAAAATCCCAAGAGGAAGTCGTCTAGAAGTTTCACAGAAGAATGTCTATAAAACACACAAACCCTCTATTTTCTTTCTGGAATCGAGTTACCCCGTTGCGAGCTCTATCGCTGCCACATTTACCTTCTCCGCTTTATCTGCTGCACAGTAACAACTTTTTCCAAGGCTGGAGGCTGGCAGGGACAGTCTTCCTCTCCTTGCTCAAGAGGAATCCTGACTGAACATCAACATTCTCACTAGTAGAGGACTGCCATTCTAGGAGAATGATGGGAAGTGACCAAGCTATGTACATGACAAATTTTAATTGGAAAAGACATTGCCAGGCAGGAGTTTTCAATCGAGTTGAGTTAGGAATGATGGAAATCTCCAAAGCGGCTTCAATGCTTCCTCCTCCTGTGCACGTGAAGTGCATTTAGAGTACATGGGTAGGATGGCCCTCCAAGAACAGCTCCCAGGGACTCATCCCTTCCCATCTCCTTCCAGCTCCCTCTAACCTCTCCCCAGGACCATACCTGACACTCAAGCTCACTGTTAGCAGCTCCAACTCCTTCATCCTCAACCAGTCATCACAGTCAACACACACACAACCTTTGCCAAACACAGGGCTCTAAGAAATCAAGGTCAATCAAAGGCAGTGCATTCCCATCAAAAGGCTAAAATCCTCTGCAGTCCGACTTCTTACCAAGAGCTGCACAGTAGATTCAGTGGGTCAAACCCAGCGAGCAGGAGATGAGGCAGCCATTCCTTGTAGCGTCCTTGGGCTTCAACCGCGTGATTTATGAATTCAGATAAATGGCTCCACCCTGTCAAGGGGCAACCTTTCTTCAAAAAGTAGCGGAAGACCGAAAACTTCTCAAAGTTCAGGCAGCAGGCTAAACGCAGTTCATTTAGCTGGGATCCATACTTCAAAAGAATATTCACAATCCCAAGGGCCTCACAGCTGTTCCACCAGATTACATGTGTAAATAAAAAACAAAACAAAAAAACAAGAGGTTAGAATGTGACATAAAATATTCTCCTGATAAACGGTCACCCTGGTCAACAATGGGAAAGAACAGCAGTGGATAAGAGAGTGGGAGGTGAGACTGGAGGACAAGGAGGTATTTATATTTCACTTTACATTCTCCTTCACATTGCTATTGGGTGGGTGGGTGGGTGGGTGGGTGTGTGGGTGCATGTGCGCGCGTAGGATCTTTTTAAGGAGAATTCTTACTTCTTAAAAAAAGATGGGTAATCTCCCGTCATGTAACTTACAGTCTCTGAGAAACCACTAGAGGGTCGACTTCAAGTTGACAGCATTAAGTTTTTAATTTCTTCATGTTCAACTATGAACAAGTACTACACTCACAATCTTTCTCCCAAGGAGTGGCTGGTGAATTTGAACCACCGGAGAGGTAGATGTCACCACTGGGCAAGCAGGGCAGTGCCCTGCGGGCTGCACCACCAAGACTTCGGTAAACTTTAGGTGGCTCCTTTAAAGTAAATGTGTCATTTTTAAAATTATTGTTGACATATAGAAATTGTCTCAAAAACTGACTTTTTTTGGTATAATTAAGTATCTCTAACATAACGTACTTGCCAAACAGGCTCTAAAGACAGATGACTCATTCCAAGACTCTCAGAGACATCATTTCTCCTTAGCAATGTTGTTGTTGTTGTTGTTGTTGTTGTTGTGTGCCACCGAGGAGACTATGACTCATAGAAACCCAATCCACAACAGCTCTGAATGCTGCTCTATCCTGAGCCAACCTCACTGTCTCTCACCTACCCCCATTACCTCAGTCAGTTGAATCAATCACCTCACTGAGGGTCTTCCTCTCCTGTGCTGTCCCTCCACCCTCCCAAGTATGACGTCCCTCTCCAAGGACTAATCCCTCCTTGCACCATGTCCAAAGTATGTCAGATGAAGCTTCAGAATCCTTGCCTCCAAGGGATTATAAGACATTATGATTAACTGCATTAATAAAGTATAATTAATATTAAAAACAAAATATATATATTTTTTAAAATCAATATAATTTGTAAACCTCTCAAATAAAAATGAGAACAAACAATGCAAGAAATAAAAAAGATCAGTATCATTAGATAAAATCAGGTCAGCTAAGCCCTAGTTCCCCTCTTACTGCCACAGATAAAATACATGAATATTCACGTGAACTGTCCTGAAATCTCTCAGGTTCCTTCTGCTTTCACCCATTCCTGCTAAAGGCATCTTTTTCTTCCATTTTCTCATTTGAGCTGAATAGCTCCACTGTGCCTGTGAAAGCCTGTCTGCATGTTCCTGCAGCTGTTCACTTTTTTGTCCCAAAGGGCAGATACTGCTTTTGCTTCTGCTCAGTACGGTGGAGGAGACATCTTTCCTATAAGACTCGGAGTAGTGGGAAGGGTTAAAGGTCACTGCTTCAAATGGAAGCTCAGCTTCTCAAAGGGATTGCCAGCAAAAAATGTTCCAGAAAGCTGATCCTGGCCTAAAAAAATCAAATAGACTGCATAATAAAAATGGAAGAAAACTTGAAGGGCAGAGACATTGTTTATATTTACTATTTTCATTACTTTTTTACATGAATGGTCCCATCTATTAAAGGAAGGAATTCTCTTAGGAGATAGCAGGCCAATAGTGTAAGAAGTCCCACATACAGTGAATTTACAGATCTCAAAAAAGTATTAGAAAATATCTAGTGGCCTAGTGGGTAAAGAGTTGCACCTCCAAACCCAAGGACAAGTCGTTCGAATCTACCAGCTGCTTTGCAGGAGAAAGGTAGGCAGTCTCCTCGGGCGTGATTTCCAGCCTCCAACTCCATGGTAAATAACAACATTACAAACGAGAAGATATAAGACTGTGACTCACTAATACCGCAAATCAAGTTACTATTGAGTATCTTTTTATATAATAAATGTACACCAAATTCCTGTAACAACATGTCAAGCAATTAAAAAAATACCATTTCAAAATTTACACCACTAACTTCATTATCCGTAACCAAATCTGTAAAACTCCAAACAGAAAATATTTAGTTTTAGAAAGTGGAGTCTTTCAACTCCCTTGGAACCACTTCTGAAAGCAAAAAATAAAATTTTTATTATTAACCAGTAAATGAGATAAAGAAGTTGAGGCACTATTTCAATAATAAACCGTTTAACAAGAAATAGTTCTTCTTAATTTAAATAGATACTTGATTATCTTTGTTATCTGAATGTTAATTCTAACGAATGAAATTCATTTTTAGGTATGTGATTCTACTGAAGATAAATCTTAAGATACTCTTCTATTGAAAAAATATGACAAAAAAAGCTAACCACTGTTGCACTGGGTTTCATCCTTGATTTCTCTTTTTCCTTAGGATCTGGTTTTATTTTGCTCTTGATGAACTTAGGAACATAAAGTCTACTAAGAGAATCTAAGTTTTCTGGCTTCTTCAGCAAGTTTTTGTACAGAGCCTCCCAATCATCTAAATGATTTCCACATTACATTTATACTGACTGACATACAAGCTAACAGCCAGACGCCAACTTATATAAATGCACCATACAGAGAGATGGATAACGGCTATCAAGCTGATCTCAGCTCACATTGAGCTTACAGGACACAATGTCCCCAGAGCTGTGTCGTTCCCACAAATACTGGCACAGTGAAGGCCAGAGCTTTCAAAGGTTGTGGTGAGCTGGTGGCAGATGCAGGTTCACATGCAGAATGAGGGGAGCTACTTCACCTCTATCTCCAGGGTTTCTAGGGTTCTCTGTATCTGATTTGTAAGACAAAAAAAAATGAGGTTTCTTCTGAGGTATTAGCTGCTGATGCTACTGCTGAGACTCAACTCATGACTAAGGCTGTCCTCAGGGTCACATCATGAATCAACGAAGATGTTAAAAAGAAAATGACAGTCACTTCCACACACGTCACTCCTCCAGGTAAGTATTTTCATGCTATGTCTGCTTCTGGTTACATTACAGAGGACTCAGAGCTCTGGTATTTTGAACAGTTTTAATTGTAAACAGTGAGAAAGAGACTGTCGTGAGCTTATTCCATCTAGGCTTCTGAAGAATTTCTTAGCAACACTGAGCTAACACTTTTTCTTTTTTTTTTCTCTCTCTCTCTCTCATAGCTCAGCAGCTAGGAGAAGTAAATCAACCACAGGTAACCACATTCACCATCAGGTTTCCTGGGCTATAAATCTTCGAGAGGACTCTACTCATCCTTCTCATGAAGGGACTGATGGATGCAAACTGTGGTTGGATTCTATGGTTAGCAGCTTGTAACCTGATATATTATGCACTACATCGAGAGAAAGATACAGACAGATAAGACACACATGCATGCACACACAGACAAGCCAGAAATACAGATGTTAGATGTAGTACTGATAAAAGCAATTTTAAAAAACCATCAACACCGCCTTACTGAAAATAGTGGTCTTCCATTTAGAAAGATAAATCTTAAAGGAGTATTCCATGACATTCTATGATATGATGCAATTTCTGCAAAGAAATTTTTCATTAATGACATCCCCACAAACTCAGTGTAAAATGCAGGCCTGGTGCAGTAGTGCTGTGCTGAATTACTGGTTTGTGTGTAACCACACAGGCCCATAGTGTAATAAGGGTCTGTGCACAAGCAGTGGCAAGGAGCTACTTTTGTTCTGAGAACTGTGAGAACTTGGTGGGAAAGTTCTCGGAGGCTCACAATAAGACTCGTCTTCTTGCAATTAGTGTGGAGTTTCTTGTGTATGTGCTTGGTGGGGCTCGAGGCTCCCCTGAAATCTACAGAACTGCAATAAAGAGACATTTAAGTCTGGGGTGGGGAGTATGTCTGGGAGCTTAAGTTCAGGATAAATAAGATGGTTATTATTTTACATCCTTCGAAGTGAAGAGAGGAAGCTGTATCTCATATATCAGCTAGGCATCTGGTACGAGATAGGACCCGTCCCTAGAGAGGGAGATCATACTGGGTCAAGCAGATCAGCAATAAAGGTCCTCAACACACTGGATGAACGATGGCTTCCAGTGCAGCAGTGACTGTGAGTCAGGGCAGGACTGAGCAGTGTGTCTGTCCCTTAACACAAAGGATCACTACAAGTCAGAACCAGCTCGACTCCACCAGGCAGCAACGACCACATTTTTACACACAGCAAAGGTTCACATTTCATATATGATTAAATGAATGATAACAACTGAAAAGGTTAGTATATAAGCCTCCAAGAAATATTTAAAATAACTTACAAGAAAATGAATACAATTTTAGGTTTGCCTGCAACCAGTTAGCATTAAAAACTAGACATACTCCATTATTAAAGAGATCACAGATACAACTTGATATGACTGTTTTGACAAATAGCCTTATTCCTATTCTCTCTTACAAAAACGTAGGCATCTATCTTACTTATCTGCTGCTATAATGGAAATATCACAAGTGAATGGCTTTAACAAATGGAAATTTATTTTCTCGTAGTTTAGAAGTCCATACTTACCATGACAGCTCTAGGGTAAGATTTCCTCTCTCTGTTAGCTCTAGGAAGGTATCTTTGTCTTTTTTAGCTTTTGTTTCTGTATGATCTCCACAGAGCTGGACGTCTTCCTCCTGGGTCCCCCTGGACTAAAAGACTCTCAGTTCAAGGAGCCCGGGTCCACAGGGCACACTCCACCTAGTTCTTCCTATGTGGTAAGAGATCCTTCCTTTTCTGCTAACTTCTCACTCTTTTTAACTCTTGTAAGATAAAAGATAATGCAAATCACAGCTCAGGGAAACTCTCCTTACAAGACAGCAAGGCTGGGACTTGGGTGATGATGTTGCATCCAACCTAACCTCCTTATCACTCTCGCCCATACTACAGAGGATGATCACACCATTCCACAATGCTGATCACCCACTGAGAATCACGACCCAGACAAAAGGACACATATGTGATGGGGACAAATTCAATCCATAAAAGGCTCTCTCATACACAAGCAGCTGGTCAGAAACCAGGAAAGCCGCAGCAAGTCTTCATTCCTATTTTTTTACCCCATGGAATCATGGCCCACTGGTAGAACAAATATTTACATTTTTCCTAAACTTAATTACACAAAGAAGTACTGCACACCAAATGCCTTACAAATGCAGTAAAGCCCACAATATTAAAGTGTTATCCTAGGCACTGAACGTATCTTTTAAATATGCATTTCAAATGATAAATAACAGCCAAAAATAGTCACTGCTTTACTTAATGAAAAGTTCTATTTGTAATCCTTAAGCTGTTTGGAAGACTATCATAAAATAACTGTTCCTACTTTTAATAGACTGAAAGTATTTCCTAAAACTAGTACTTTAAAAATGTAATTCAGCCTTTCTACGAAGATGGCGCCGAAAGCGAAGAAGGAAGCCCCTGCCCCTCCCAAAACTGAAGCCAAAGCAAAGGCATTAAAGGCCAAGAAGGCGTCCTGAAGGGCGTCCACAGCCAAAAAAAAAGAAGATCTGCACGTCACCCACGTTCCGGCTGCCTAAGATGCTGAGCCCCCGACGGCAGCCCAAATACCCCTGGAAGAGCGCCCCCAGGAGAAACAAGCTTGACCACTCTGCCATCATCAAATTTCCCCTGACCACTGAGTCAGCCATGAAGAAGATAGAAGATAACAACACACTTGTGTTCATTGTGGATGTCAAGGTCAACAAGCACCAAATTAAACAAGCTGTAAAGAAGCTCTATGGCATTGATGTGGCTAAGGTCAACACTTTGATTAGGCCTGATGGAGAGAAGAAGGCCTATGTTCAACTTGCTCCTGATTATGATGCTTTGGATGTTGCCAACAAAATTGGGATCATCTAAACTGAGTCCAGCGGGCTAATTCTAAATGTAATAAATTTTTCTCACCATAAAAAAAAAAAATGTAATTAAGATCTATAGAGGGAAGGGGGGGAAACCGTAGTATTACCTCATTTTTACAGCTTTACTGAACTATTAACCTATTTCTCTGTTTTCTGTATTAACAATTTAGCACTGCCAAAGATACTTAGCTTCATCATGAGAGGACGTCACTTGGGAATCACTCTCCAAAGCTGCTGTGGTGGTTAGTAAACCGGAGTGAGTGTGAATTCATGGCAGCCCCGTGTGTGCAGGAGGAGCTGTGTCAAGTCTTCTCAGCTGTGACCGTTCAGAACCAGACCGCCAGGCCTGTCCTCCTCAGCACCTCTGGGTAGTCAAGCACTTAACCATTCCCACCACACAAGGATTCCCACATAAGTACAACAAGAAATAATAAAAACATAGCAAATATACATACTCTTTCTGGAACGCCATACACATGGGGGAATTGACGCCAAAGACGAGACACATCTGGGCATCAGGGCTGTAGCCATTCTGGAGCAGGACTTCTAGGCAATCTTCATGCCCTCCGTACACAGCTGAGTAAACAGGGCTCACTTGATCAGGCTCCGTGTCACAGGCCCGGTGAGTAACAGGTATTAACAATTCCAAGACCCTGCAAATACACAAACCCAGAAGCTGTTCATGATTTACATGTACAGGTAAACCTTTCTACCACCAGTTATCTTAATTATCACTGACGGATTCTGAGAATTCTATCTCCAGTGAATCTTCTACCTACATCAAAATTACAGAATGCTACATCATTAGTGCAAAATGTTATTCACTGTTGCTTAATATATCGAGTCCTAATTATCTAAAATAAAATTATATAAGCCAAGTACTGGTTCTGACTTGATGGTATTCAACAACAGATAAAGTAATTCTACGTTTCCCTTTCTATTCTTCACGAGTTCTTTGTCTTCCCACCAACAGCATTTAAAATGTCAGTGCACTACACATAAACTTGCCTCGAGAAAACACTCTTCTCTTTCAAGTCCCAAGTTTCATTTTTCTAATCATTAAGCATTTTTAAAGATGATGAATGACACAAAATGAAGAACTGTCTTTTCATCAGGAAAGTCATGTAGTGAATTGTTTTGTGGCCCCCAAAATACATATATACACATGTATAATGATATAATGTGCAAGCTACATAATAATCCTGATAAACCAAACAACTATAGGAGTATTAGGTGTGAAATGCACCACACCCTGCTTTCACACAACCTTAATCTGAGAGTTGAGAGAATTTGCCTTGGTGTGGCCAGTATGACCCTTTATCTCCTCTGAGGTAAAAGCGGAGAGAAATAAGCCTGAGAAGGGGTGGGTGATGAGCCAACCAGTAATCATCACTAGGAGGAGACTGCAGTTTCCAGACCGAAGCCCAGAACAGAAGGAGGTCTCCAGGACACACTGGGCCCGTAGGTAAGGAGGACTTTCTGTCACAGTCTGCAGAGAGAGTGGGCCTTCTCCTAGAGGCAGCACCTTCAGTTTGAACGTCCACACTCCTCAACTGGTAAAAGAACAAATTCTCATTTGTGAAAGCCTCCACTTTGTCTACATTTTAATAGTCTTAGATAACTAAAACACAGAAGATACCAGAATTTCTCCTTATGTTATTAATAATATTCTATTTTCTGAAAATAATATGAACTCTTTAAAAGCAGGAAGCATTGGTGGCTTAAGGAAAAGAGTTGCAGCACCAACTCAAAGGTATGCAGTTTGAATCCACCAGCTGCTCTGCAGGAGAAAGATCTGCAGTCTCCTCCCGTGAGATTAACTGAGTCTGAAAACATGCTGAAGGGTCAGCTATGGGTTGATTCAAATTCAATGGTACACAACAGTTTAAATGCAAGGGTTTGCTTAGACATTGTAATAAGTTAACTGCATTGCCTAGGAATGTCTGAAAAAAAATGTTATCTGTAAACTTTCATTCAAATTAAACAAGATTTACAACTACATTTTTTTAAAAAGTATAAAATTCAACAACCTTTTGTTAAATGCTTTTTTAATTGTGATTTTAAACAAAATTTTACAGAAAAGTTGGATTTTCTTTCATTCTTTCATTCATTCATTCACTCATTCATTGTTGTATTTTCTTCCCTAAACCCGCAGTTTACTTTTCCTAAAGAAAACATTCATCATTGCAAAATTTCCTCCCTCACCTCCCCAATCACACTAAACGTTTTCTTAACATCTCTTAAATTTAGTATATATATATTTGTTTTATCAATAAAAATGTTTAAAAAAAAAATCACTATTCCAAAAGTGACAAACAGCTACATTTGAGGAAATGGTCAAATCAAGTGCCACCTAGTGGCAACAATCACCAAATTGCAGACCTTGCTTCCCTCCTGCACTAAACAGTTGAAGTCCTAGCAGACTCAGAGCTGGGCAGCTGGTCTCTGAAGCAGTCCCGGCTCTTCTCCCACGGACCTCCTGATGGGTTCGAACCGCCAGAGAGGCACCAACTTTTGGGTTGGTAGTGCAACATCCTACAGAGTAAGCCACCAAAGCTCCTTACATAAAGCTTCCTATTAAAAAAAACAAAACAAACCCCAAAACATCCTACAGGGACTTCTGCTGGTGCAGTCCACGGCAGAATGCACCGCTAACCCAAGGGTTTATGTCTTTCTGACAGTTCAAATCCACCGGCTATTACATAGGACAAAGATGGGCAATCTCCTCCCGGGCAATTTACAGCCTCTGAAAACCTAGTGGAGGGTCAGCTACAGACACAAAATATTACTATAAAATGATGACTTTTCTTCTAGAATTAAAATGCCACAGAATTGAAACAATGAATCTGTAGAAGCTATTCGATGTCCACTTTATGTAAAGCCTGTCGTCGGTTGTGGGTGTGTGCCATCGAGCTGGCACTAACTCCTCTGCCCATCTTTCCCTCTCGGAGCAGCTGGGGGGTTCGAGCTGAGGGCCTTTGGGCTGGTCAGTGCAACTCCTGACCACGAGACCAACAGAGCTCCCTTCGTTAAAGGCTGCAATGGGGAAAACTTTATGGGACAATTCGACTCTGTCACAAGGGGGCAGCCCAGGAATAGGAAGTAGCTCAATCGTGCCTCGTAATAATATACTCTGTTCTAACAATATTATTGCTGTTGCTGCTGTGCACCATCGAGCTGGAACCAACTCAGAGCTGACCCTCCAGCAGGGTTTCAGAGGCAGTAAATCACATGGGAGGAGGCTGTCCATCCTTCTCCTGTGGAGCAGCTAGTGCGTTTGAACCATGTACCTCGGGTTAAATCACAATTAAAAAAGAAAATATTTAATAATTAGGTTTTAGAATTGTATCCTTTTTTTAGAAAAATGTATTTTTAAATCTTGTTTTATTTGAGTGAAAGTTTACAGATCACATTGTTTTTCCAGACATTAACAGGCAATACAGCACAGTTCATTCCCACCAGGCCACCAGAATGCCCTGCAACAGTACTGTTGTGGTGGTGGTGTGTCATCGAGTCAGCACAGACTCAGCGCTGACCCTCCAGCAGGGTTTCAGAGGCAGTTAATTGCACAGGCTCATGCTTCTCCCATGGAGCAGCCGGTGGATTCGAACCACGTGTGGGACTGCAGCCCAGCTTCTGACCACTAGGCCAGCACAGCTCCTAATAATATTAGAAATCCCAATTTCAAGGAGTTCAAATTTTACTTAGGTCTCTCTCCAGTAATTTCATGGGACCTTTTAGCTCATAATGAATAATAAAAGAGGCAAGGGAAAATGTTGACTTGAACTTGAAACTAGAGATGCACCGTCAAAGGGTTTAAGACGGAAGGGCTACCCAGCACATGCCAAATAAAGACTGGATTCTAATAGTGGTTAGAAATGCAAAACCATTCCAGGGCCAGGAAAGTAAACGAAGTAAGAAAGCAGTCAGACGGCCACATTAAGACAATGAGGTTAAAGTTGGGAAGAAAGAGGAGATTGTGGCCATAACTACAGAAACCAGAAGAAGATTCTTCCGACTGAAAGATTTCCTGGTATTAACCCCACCTCTAGTCATGCTGGGAGCTCTGGTGACTCAGTATTAAGGAGGTGGGCTGCCAACCCAAAAGCACATGGTATGAATTCCCGAGCTTCTCCAGGCAGTGAAAGATGGGAGACCGCCTCTCGGGATTAACGGCCTCTGAAAACCCACTGGAGGGTCAAGTATGAGTCGGTTCTGACCCAACGGTACACACAACTAGCCACTCTAGCTCATACCAAAGGTAGAAGACTAAGATGAGCTGGACAGACACAGGACACAGATTAGGGGTGAATCAGTCAGTCAGCTAATTGGTTGGGAAGAGAGTAACAAGATTTTTTTTTGCCTGGAGGTAAAAGGGTTGGCCCAGAGTATTTATTAACTCTTGACTGTGAGGTAATTTTTTAACACTTACTTTGCATGGCCCATTTGTGCAGCTGCGTGAATAGGTAACTGCCAATTGTCCTCATTACAATAAAGATTAGGATCTGCCTTGCTGGACAGCAGAAGTTCCACGCATTTTAGGTGACCCTCCTGAGAAGCAATGAATAATGGGGTAGCTTTGTCCAAGGCTTGGCAGTTGACATTGGCACCTAAGAGAAAACAAAGGGTTTAACAAGTAATCCTCATTTATGCAGCAAAAGACCATAATAAAGAACACAGGTTTCAAAGCATAAAAAGGTTTCACAGCACAATAGGTGTCTCTCTCAGTGGATATTCTGAAATAAACATATTTCTTTTGTTAATTTGTTAATAATCACTTAAACTGGTTTTGCTTTTATGTTGTCAAAAAAAAAAAACAAGTGGCTAATAAATCGTAATGCATTTTTAAAATAAAAGAAATCCAATTTAATGAAGGATTCATTTCATTCTAATCCCTTCCTTAATTACTAGCATGCTATGAATCTAATAAGCAATTGTTTGAAAAGGAAAAATGGAAATCATCAACTATAAATCAAGTTCATGATAATTACTAAAAAAGTTAGAATACCAAATTAGGACACTTTATAGAAGCAACGCCTTATTTCAGCCTAAAGTTTATGAAAATAATAACTACTAGCAGATAAGACATATTGTCGCTAGGTCTGAAGAGGGTCCTTACTCCTCTATGGACGAATGATTAACAAATTCTTTTAAAAAATGAAAGTCCACAATAAAACGGAAAAAGTCTACATAAAAGAGTGAGTAGATTTTAAAAAGTGTACCTTCTGGCAAGTTATTTAAACATCAGTATGTAAAGATCTGAAAAGCTGAAAAAGACTTGAATTTTTGTAAAGCTTTTTTAAAAAAAGCAGACATCTCAAAGATGCCTTAGTGACAAAGAACATGTTATGTTAAGTCTGGCATTATTATATATTACCGTGGAATATTCACATATTCTACAATCTATCCCAGTGGGAAAATAATTACCAAGGAGGAAACAATTTATTTGTTAACAATTGCATAAATTAACCAAAGCCCTAAGATGGGTAAAGATTATCTAAAACACAAATGGTAAATTTCCATTTACAGGAACTTGTGAAATCTCAGATGGGCATTCAACTTGTCTAGACCACTTAAATCTTCCTGGTTCAACCGAAGCAGCTGCTTTGTATTCTGCCAGACTCGGGAGAGTGAACACATTACCAAGAAGGGATCAGCTCACAAAACAAGCCGCTCTGCTTCACGTGGCTTTAAATCAATGCTTTATTTTGACTGGTAATTTCAAAGCAAACTCCGGCGGCCTAGTGGCAAGAAGCTGCACTGCAATCCTGAAGGCACATGGTTTGAGGCCACTACTTTACTCCTCTGCGATTAAGTGCTTCTGAAAACCCCCTGGAGGGTCAGCTATGGGTCGGTTCCAACTCGAGAATATACAACAACAACAACACAACAATTTCAAAGTACCAGGAAAAATAAGGACTAGAGATGAAAGGGTAGGAAAAATGATAGGGGAAAAGAAACCCTTTATGAAGTTGGGAAGTGCTTGCTTCAACAGCACACGTTCTACAACTGAAACAATACAGAGATCAGCACAGCCCCTGTGTAAGGATGACGTGCAAATTCGTGAAGGATTCCACTTTAAAAAAAAAAAAGAAAGCACAAAAAGTTGAAAAGTAATGTTACACACGAACAAGTGCAACATACGAGTTATGTAACACACATACTTTTCTAGTTGGGGGGGCACCAAAAAAGGACAAAGCAAAAGAGGTGCTTAGCACGCCAGTGTTCAGCACAAGGAAAGAGCACTTAACGCACAGTTTAACTTACGTCAGTCTAACTATTAGTTAGGTGGTGGTGGTGGTAGTTTGTACCACAGAGTCGGAAGCAACCCACAGCTAACCCTCCGGGTTTTCAGAGGCAGTTAATCGCACAAGAGGAGGCTGACCATGCTTCTCCCATGGAGCAGCTGGTGGATTCGAACCTCGTGCCTTCAGGATTACCGTGCAGCTTCCTGCCACTAGGCCAACATTAGTAAGTAGAATTAGGCTTACCTGGATCTACAATCAGCACCCATGATAGCATCAGTCAAAGAATCAAAAAGATGTGTTGCATAGGGAAATAGTGCTGTCAAGGATCTCTTTAAAGTGCAAAAGAGCAACAATGTCAGTTTAAATATTAAAGTGCATTTTATCTAAACCTTGATCTTTTCAACTTGACAACACATTCCAACAACAACTGGAACTTAAGGGACTAGAAGTTATAAACTAAATTAGGACAGACTTCAAGAATATACCTAATAGTAGGAGGAGGAAGACTGGAAATAAAAAAGTTAGATCCAAACCTTAATTCTGCCAGGAAATAATTTCTGGATCTCTGGAAAGGCACTTCTTAATATCTTAGGACTTGGGATTTTTAATCTAAAAAATGCTCATCTAATTAACTGATTTTGGAGATCCTCTCAGCTCCAAGATTTATAGTCACAATACTGACTATAACAGATACCTTAAACTGGCACTTAATGGATGTTTGTTTATTTTACTATGTCATCTCATCAGGTAACATAGGGAGAAAGTAGAAATAAGAAAATGCATGTTCTTCTGTCTACATAGATTTTTATTTGTACATTTAAGGGTACTTTTTTAAAAAGGCAAAATTTAAAACAGAAACAACAAAATCACTGCCACTCTGGTAGTCTGTCCCGTCGTCCGTGTGTGTGTCCTGTTGTCCTCTCACGCCCTCCCCCATCCTCAGTGATCTGTCTTCATCAGGTAGCGCCATGTTTGCATACATCGTGTTAGGAAAGAATTTAAAAGCCCAATAAGGTTTAGGAAGAATATGTAGTCACAGATATGCCATCGAGTAAGAACATCTCCTCAACCCTATCTTCTCTGGCAATGCATAATATATCATGGTGGTCATGAAGGAGATTTTAATAGGTTTATGTTGTTGTTAACATAATCAAATCCTCCCATTCTTTAAACCTATTCAAATAAGCACACAATTGATAAGAACATACAACTCAAAGGGGTAATACACATAGGAGCTTTCAAATAAACTAATTAAGCCTGAGATATTCTTGTACACTGGAGACTATGAACTGCTCAGCTTCCTCTGAAGGAGGACAGCCCATCAGTCCACTTGTCAATAAACCTCATTTAGTGACAGACCCCTGTGTTTCCATGGAGATAAATCGGTACATGTGTATTGGACTATGTTAGTCAAACACAGTAACCAAGCTCACGTATCAACGTGCATTTATTTTTATTTCTCATTTAAGTAAAACCAATACATTTCACAAGCGGGTTTATATCTGGTCAAGAATGAGTCTTTAGGAAGTTAAAACTCAGCACCTTAACCGTACAAGGTCTAACACATTCGTCTTACCTGACGCAATAAGCGCAGTCAAGCTTTCCAGCTTGCCATACTGAGCAGCCACAAATAAGGGCGTGATCCCAAAGTCATCCTGGCATTCCTTGTCCACTCCCTTTTTAAGAAGCAACTTTATGATCTCAACATTTTCCTGAAACACAGTTTCAGATTTTCAGTAAGAGAAAACAAAGAAAATAAAAGATGATCTTTTTACTATTGCTCTCTTTTCTCTTTCTCAAGTTTAAAAAAAAGGCTTTTTAGAAATGTATTGCAGTGGGACATCATGCTGGGTAGAGTGGAGGGACAGCGCAGGAGGGGAAGACCCTCTAAGAAGTGGATTGATTCAGTGACTGGGATAATCGGGATCGGAGTGTCAGAGGCAATGAGATTGGCACAGGATAGAGCAGGGTTTAGGGCTGTTGTACATAGGGTCACTATGAGTCGCAAACGACTCGACGGCACATAACAACAAACAACAACAAAGAGTTAGTTAGTTACTCTAGAACAAGTCTTTTATCAGATACCGGTTTTGAAATGGTTGTGTTTTGTCTTTTAATTTCTTTGTGCCTTTTTATGTTTTGATGAAAGGAAGCTTCAAAATGTTGGTGAATGTTAACACTTCACCTCACATGCTTTGAGTGTGTTGTCAGGAGGGAAAAAAAAAAGACATCCTACTGGGAAAGGCAGAGGGTCAGAGAAAGAGAGGAAGACCCTGGACAAGGTGGAGTGAGTGGCACAATAACTGTGACACTGGACTTGAACATGAACAACAACAACAACACTGCAGTGGGAAAACACTGGCCACACAATCAGATGACCCTACACCTTTGATTAGCTCATTAAACATAAATATATGAAACACTGGCCTCTATAAATTATAATCCTTATAAGCCCGCTAAATTAGCTTGCTAGCTGAGGCAGTCAGAGCTATCACGGCTTCTAAACACGGTTCTAAATAATGTAAGCCATTGGACTTTATCAATTTCTACTCCAAGCAGCCTGATAGTTTGTTAACTTTGCTTTCAACGTTTCAAAAACTTGGATAATTCCTGCAGCCCCAAACCCACTACAGCTGCTAGAGCAGCTGGCTGGCTTGGAATGATCATGAGCACTTAGACTGCCTCTCTGTCCTGAACTGACTGGCCACCATAAACCACAGGCAAGCAGGAAGCACAAAACTGTACAGATCACTCATTTGAGAAGGGTAAAACACACAATTTACATGGAAATGAAAGAATAAATTCAGAGATTACCTGATACGCAGCCTGGTGCAGGGCATTCCATCTACACATAGAATGGGATCCATTAACATTTGCTCCATGCCGAAGCAACATTTTTAACACATCCATCTGCCCATTTTCAACAGCTGCAATACAGTAGTAAAAGAAAAAAGAAGAAAAAAAATCATGTGTCAGCAAAAAGGCATGTATGTAAGCCTTAGTCTTAGTCTAAACCTATAAACATATACCTAATTTTTTGTATACACAAACAAAATTATCTTCAATATTTTTTTAATTTATTTATTTTTCATTTCAATGAACATCTACAGAGATTTTGGAATTCCATTCATTCATTGTTGCACCTTTCTCCCCGCCCACCTCACCTCACACCCACCCCCCTTTGCTCCTCTCCCTGAAAAGCAAAAGAAAAACTCCCTCATTGGTACACAATCCCCCCCGCACTCCCCCCAACCCCAAATATAATCCATTCCGCAACCCTCATTGCGCTCAGAGGGGAGCTCTAGTGGCCTAGTGGTAAGAAGCTCACTGCAATCCCAGAGGCATACGGTTCAATCCACCACCAGATGCTCTACCGGGAAAGGAGGGACAATCTCCTTCTGTACCAGTCAGATCCGATTTGACGGTACACACACACACGCACACACAATAATAAAATTTTAAAAATATTATAAAGAAAAAAGATGATAATTCAGGAACACTCAAAATGCACACGAGAAATGGAAGCAGAAGGCAAACATTTACTCTCAGGAAGGCAACTGAGTGGGAGGGGGCAGAAGAAGAAGTGGTGGAGAGGTAGAGTCTCCAAGGGTGTGGAAGGTGCGTGTCATTATTATTTGGCCCCAGGCTGTAAGAGTCACCGACAAAGCGAAAGAGCAACAGCTCAGGCTCTGCACCTTAGTTACTTTTATTGTTCTAGACAAAAATCTTCCTTAAAATGATGTTCTTCTAGGGAGCTCTGGTGGCCCAGTGGCAAGATGCTGCACTGTAATTCCAGAGGTATGCGGTTCAAATCCACCAGATGCTCTGCTGGAGAAGGAGGGAGCAATCTCTTCCCGTAACAGTCAGATCTGATTTGACGGTACACATAAAAATAATACAATAAAAATTTAAAATAAGGCGAGCTCTGGTGGCCAAGTGGCAAGAAAGTGCACTGCAATCCCAGAGGTGCATGGTTCAAATCCACCAGATGCTCTGCTGGAGAAGGAGGAACAATCTCCTCCTGTACCAGTCAGATCTGATTTGATGGTACATGCACACACACAAAAATAATAAAATAAAAAAAATTATGTTCTTCTATCCAGGCAGGAAAACAGGGTAGAAACTTCTGGAGGCTGATAAATGACAAGCATATCAGTAACAGTAACTTAACCCCCAACCACATGAATCCTAATGTTAACTTGGAGGAAACAAGTTATGAAATAGTACAGGAATTTTATTTGATTTTCATATCTAATCTCATGATAGTAAGTTCCTTCCCCCTTTTGGGAATTTCACCCATCTCCCTTGACCTTGGACACCATATTCTCCCCACTTGTAAGTGGTCTTCTTACACTATCATCCCCTCAATTTCTCTCACTGCCTCTTCTCTACTAGGCTCTACTGTTCAATATGCAAATACACTCCCTAAAAATAATAATCTAGGGAGGAAAATGGGCACCAATGAATGAATGAAAAATCCAACTTTTCTGTAAACTTTTGCTAAGTTCAAAATAAAAAAGGTAAAAAAAAAAACTAAAAAGAGCAAGCTGGGGAGATGGGAGAGGGAAAACAGTGGGGAGGGAGGGAAATGTGCAACAACGAATGAATGAAAAATCCAACTTTTCAGTAAACTTTCGGTAAAATAGCAATAATAAAGGAAAAATTTAAAAAAGAATGAGCTGGGGGAGAGGGAAGGGAGGAGGAGAGGGAGGAAAATGTGGAACAACGAATAAATGAATGGAAATCCAACTTTTCTGTAAAGTATTGCTAAAATTACAACCAGAAAAAGAAAAAATTAACAATTTCTCATCACTTCTCCCATCAACATGCTATTTTCCTTTGTTCTTTTTTTAAACCATTTAAGTTCTCAAGAGGATGTGTACAAATATGCAAAAGGGGGAGAAGGGGTGTAGAAAAGGGACAAAAGAGAGAGAATCACTAGAATCGTAGAGTTTAGTGGGCGATGGGGCTGGAGGAACAGGAAGGATTCAATGGGGACTGAAAAGATGGGTGACACTAGGTATCAATCAACAGTCATTAACTGTATACAATCTATAAAAATGACTGTATAGCACGGTGCACAGGAAAAAAAAACACTATGTTAATCAACGTTTGTACAAAACATATGGACATGAGCAAAACATGATTAAAAAAAAAAAGTACTTTTCAAGGCTACATTCAGCGTTTTCTCTTGCCATGAGACACTCACTCACTGATTTAGCCAATTCATTACCAAGTGTCTAATGTATATTATGCAATGTTCTAGA